CGTCGCCCGCGAGCCCGGCGTCGTGCGCGTGCGCACACGGTGCCCGCGCCGGCGGGTGAGGGAGCGTCCTGCGCTCTGGGCCCCTGCGCCCCGGCACACGCCCAGACTCGGGTGACGGCCGTGGCCGGGCACCGGGGGAAGGGCTCTGTGTCCAGACGCTCCTCAGCGGTACCGCGCTACCGCCCGTCTTCCCAACAACCCAGGACGGCCTCTCCCCGCCCGGTGTGAACATTCTCCTTGCAGAGCCAAGTGCTACACTGAGGTCACATTTCCTTTATTGTACAACTTTTTAAAAAATCCCCGTTGCCTTTCTCTTTTCCACTACTTCGCTTTATGATACCCTCAGTTTTTCACAAACTCTCCTTGGTATGAGGACTCAAGACTCCAGCCCTGCGCCACAACCATCATTCCGAGCCTTCACTGTCTTCCCACGGTGGGCCCGTTTTTCTGGGCGCAGCGTCTTCCTGGTTCCCTCCTTCACGGGAGCGCACCCGCAAACAAGGTGTTCAGTCGGGTGTGTCGGAAATGTGACCGCCACAGTCAACTGTTCCCCACATTGTGACTGCTTTTCCTAGCATGATTCTGGACGAGGGATCTTAGCGTATTTTGGAAGCTCTGACTACAGCCAGGTAAACAAGTTTGGTTTTTGCCTTGTAGTCTCCTGAATTCTGCATATTGCAGAAATTTATCAAGGAATGAAAATAAAGAAAAATCTGAAACATTGCAGCAATGATTTACATTCCTCCCTGCGCTGAGCAAACTTTTGGGGATAATGGAAATCTTCTGTGTCTTGATTACATAACTGTATTCATTTGCCAAAACTCACCAAGCTGTATTCTTTAACAGTGAATTTTACTGTCTCTAAAGTATATTTCACTAAACCCGATCAAAACTAAAATGTCTTTCTGTGCCGTCCCTTGCAGACATAATTTCATCGTGTTATAATAACAGCATACATATCTTTTAGTACTGTATTCCCACATAATTATTTATTTTCCATGTTGCTTCTGTCCTGAAGCAGTGATTCTGAGAAGTTCAGGGTCTGTGACCACTAGCAGGGAAGTATGGCCAAACCACTGAGATCATAACATCTGGTAAAAGCGTCCTTTAAACTCTTCTTGGTGTTACCGAAGTAGTTCATTATAAAATTAAAAGTACCACCACTCACAAATTCAGATTTCATCACAGGGGACATAGAATAGGTATGAGAACGTGTCCAAGTGCACACAGGGTAACTGATCAGGAACTGACTCTTCTGAGGCAGGAGCTACAGCAAGTCATTGTTGGGTTTCTCTTCTTCCCTCTGGTGCTCATCACCAGTGTGACAGGCTAAGTTCACCCTGTGTATAATTTGTAGATTGCTACACTCAGGCACCTGCCTGAAATTGCACAAGCCCAAGTCACTTTTTGTACCTACATAATTGAGTGGGCACTAAAATTAAAGCTATGGGTGGAAATACAAAGGAACCAACAGAAAAAAAAAAGACACCCC